TCATCCTCAGGCATTCAAATGTTACCATATCCTTTTCTCCCTCCTTGGAGAAGCACTTGTTAGGCCAGACCCAGATTTCCTGCAGCCTGCCAACATATAGTTCCAAAACTTCCATAACTTCAAAACACCAAAATGCATCCTTTCCCTAAGAACAATGCCAGGGACCAGATCTCTGTTTTCCAAACAGCAGAACCTGACTCCCTGCACAAAATGTAAGGCTCCAAAAGTGCACTTCTTCCTCTTCCCTTGAGAAAGAAGCCCCAAAGTGTCCAGACTGCTCCCCTGCAGATCTGCCACTATCCATAGGTACACTATCTCTCTCCTTCCCATGGAGCTGAGCGTAGCGGGTGAACCAGACTCCTCAGGTCGGTCACAATTTGAGCATTATTGGACTGAGTCGTTTATAGGAATATTCTGTTGATGTAGTCCCAAAGCTGTAAATGAATGATAGAAGTCTTCCATCCTGGCTCCATCTCAGTTTCCTGGCCAGATGTTGATCTTCTTGATTGGTGTTGACAAACACAACGCTTGTGTTGACTTCCTTCTTAACATAAGGAATGTTGCAAACATTTCCTTGATCACTGTCCCAGTTCTTATCAGGGTTTCTCATTAGCAAGTCCAGCAAGCAGGTAGTTAGTCATAGCAGGCCTTAATATTATCCTGGGGTTTCCAAAATTATTGACTCCATCCATACATCTTCCATTTATTCCCACACATCATATTAAATTCATATTTGTCAAATCTGCACATTGAATTTCTTGTGACATGGATCCTGGATTCATTTACAACTTTGGGACGACATCAACAGAATATTCCTATAAAAGACTCCGTCTAATAATGCTCAAATTGTGACAGACAGAGACGCTGTTCACCCGCTATGCTCTGCTCCATGGGAAGGAGAGAGATAGTGTACCTTTGGAGAGTGTCAGATATGGTATGGGAAAGCATGATTCTGGTCACTTTGGGGCTTCTCTTTCAAGGGAAGAGGAAGAAGTGCGCTTTTGGAGCCTTAGATTTTGTGCAGGGAGTCAGGTTCTGCTGTTTGGCAAACAGAGATCTGGTCCCTGGCATTGTTCTTAGGGAAAGGGTGCATTTTGGTGTGTTGAAGTTATGGAAGTTTTGGAACTATATGTTGGCAGGCTGCAGGAAAGCAAGGTCTGGCCTAACAAGTGCTTCTCCAAGGAGGGAGAAAAGGATATGGTAATATTTGAATGCCTGGGGATGAGTGCGTGTACATGTGGTTGGAATGTTGGATGAAAGTGTAATTCTCCTTTGTTTGTTTGTTAGCCATGTAATTGTGAATCCAATGTAGTTGCACAGAATCTGTATGTCTGTTTTTTTCCTGTTATCTGATATACCCTCTCACACTGGAAATTGCAATAAAAAGAACCTATGCTTCAAAGTGACTGAAAAATCATTCATGACCCACACTCCCCACACCCCACCTGCCCACTTATTTATTTATTTATTATTTAAACTTATATGCCGCTAATCCCCTGCGAATCGGGGCGGCTTACAAGAATAGCTGAAATCTAACAAAATTTAAAAGCAATTTAAAACAGTTTAAAAACAGCATACTGATTAATCACAAAAACAATATGTTTTGGGGGAGTATGGACAACCGATAATTGGATTCGGAGTACCTTCCAACTGATTCAACTCAGACTTCCATAGACTTCCACTAAGACCCCCATGAATGACAGATCTGAACCAAACTTGGCACACAGAACCTGGGAGGAAGTCACAGTAATAGGTGAATTACTGTGTTGCAAGAGACCTCCAAGCTCCATCCAGTCCAACCTCCTTCTGCCATAAGGGAAAAACACAATCAAAGCACTCCTAACAGATGACCATAGAGACTTATTATTATTATTATTATTATTATTATTGTATTGTCGAAGGCTTTCATGGCTGGAATCACTAGGTTCTTGGGTTTTTTTCGGGCTATATGGCCATGTTCTAGAGGCATTTTCTCCTGACGTTTCGCCTGCATCTATGGCAAGCATCCTCAGAGGTAGTGAGGTCTGTTGGAACTAGGAAAATGGGTTTATATATCTGTGGAATGGCTGGGGTGGGGCAAAGAGCTCTTCTCTGCTGGAGCTAGGTGTGAATGTTTCAACTGACCACCTTCATTAGCATTTGAAGGCCTGGCTGAGCCTGGGAAAATGTTTTGTTGAGAGGTGTTAAGATGTGCCTGGTTGTTTCCTCTCTGCTGTTTTGCTGTTTTAATTTTAGAGTGTTTTAATACTGGTAGCCAGATTTTGTTCATTTTCATGGTCTCCTCCTTTCTGTTGAAATTGTCCACATGCTTGTGGATTTCAGTGGCTTCTCTGTGTAGTCTGACATGGTGGTTGTTGGAGTGGTCCAGCATTTCTGTGTTCTTAAATAATATGCTGTGTCCAGGTTGGTTCATCAGGTGCTCTGCTATGGCTGACTTCTCTGGTTGAAGTAGTCTGCAGTGCCTTTCATGTTCCTTGATTCGTGTTTGGGCAATGCTGCGTTTGGTGGTCCCTATGTAGACTTGTCCACAGCTGCATGGTATACGGTAGACTCCTGCAGAAGTGAGAGGATCCCTCTTGTCCTTTGCTGAACGTAGCATTTGTTGGATTTTCTTGGTGGGTCTGTAGGTGGTTTGTATGTTGTGTTTCCTCATCAGCTTCCCTATGCGGTCAGTGGTTCCCTTGATGTATGGCAGGAACACTTTTCCTCTGGGTGGATCTTCATCTTGACTCTCGTGGCTTGTTCTTGGTCTTGCAGCTCTTCTGATGTCTGAGGTGGAGTATCCATTGGCCTGGAGAGCCCAGTTGAGGTGGTTCAGTTCATCTTGGAGGAGGTGGGCTTCGCAGATTCTTTTTGCACGGTCTGCCAAGGCTTTAATGGTGCTTCTTTTTTGACTTGGGTGATGGTTGGAGTTTTTATGTAGATATCTATCTGTGTGTGGGGTTTCTGTAGACGGTGTGACCCAATTGTTGATCTGGTTTGCGGATGACTAGGACATCTAGAAAAGGCAGTCTTCCTTCATTTTCTTTTTCCATGGTGAACTGGATGTTTGGGTGGATGCTGTTAAGATGATCCAGGAACCTGTTGAGTTCTTCTTCTCCATGGCTCCAAATGGTGAAGGTGTCATCCACATATCTGAACCATATCGTGGGCTTTTTGGTTGCTGTTCCAGGGCTTGTTTTTCAAAGTGTTCCATGTAGAAGTTAGCTATGACTGGGCTGAGAGAGCTCCCCATAGCTACTCCATCTTTCTGTTCGTAGAATTCATTGTCCCACTGAAAATAGCTGGTGGTGAGGCAATGGTGAAACAGTGCCGTGATGTCTTCTGGGAACCTTTGGTTGATGAGTGCCATGGTGTCTGCTACCGGGACCATGGTGTCTGCTACCGGGATTATTATTATTATTATTATTATTATTATTATTATTATTATTTGAAACACCACAAGATGATTCCACAGCATACACTCTGCTGGCTGTTGTATTGGATCACACATCGGACCCTTCCCAAGTGTCTAGGACTGTGTGATGTATCGGTGAATAATGCGTGCAGGTCCCAGTAAGGTGGCCTTTTGCAGCTGGCAGATGCTAATCTTGTCAGTGCCGATTGTGTTGAAGTACAGGCCAAGGTCTTTAGGCACTCCACCCAGTGTGCCGATCACCACTGGGACCACCTTTACTGGTTTGTGCCAGAGTCTTTGCAGTTTGATCTTTAAATCCTCATATTGTATCATCTTTTCCAGCTGTTTCTCTTCAATACTGCTGTCACCTGGGATTGCAACATCGACAGGTCATATTTTGTTTTGTAACACGATCGTGACGTCAGGAGTATTGTGCTCCAAAACTCTGTCTGCCTGAATTCGGAAGACCCAGAGTAGATTGACTTTTCCGTTCTCTGTAACTTTTTCTGGCTTGTGATCCCACCAGTTCTTTGTCGCAGGCAAATTATTATTATTAGTAGTAGTAGGAGTTGTAATAGTAGTAGTAGTAGTAGTATTAGCAGTAGTAATAGAATCCTAGAGTAGGAAGACACCTCCAAGGGCCATCCAGTCATCATGCACAGGAGGGTCCCGTGGGGGTAAGGCAGTCTAAACATTGGACAGGCTGACCCCCTTGGGAAGGGGACCCGTGAGTGTCGAGGGAGATCGTCTGGACTCCCATATCCACAGGGGGTTGGGTTGACATGGATAATGGGTTATAGGGTTAGGCGCAAGGAAAGACATAATGGGGTAGGTTTGTTGAGAGATGAAAGAGGTACAGATCTGCGAATAAGTGAATGTAAGTGAATGGCAAGGGTAAAAGGTGGGTTGGTTGCCTGCTGGTGCTCCTGGATTGCCTGGGAGGCGGCGATGGGGTTTGGGGTATTTGTGGGGTACCGTCTGGCGGACAAGGTTATGAACTGTCTCTGTCCTGGGCCCCTGGAGGGTCCTGGAGGGCGGTGGTCCATGTGGTCCAGGCCGTTGCCAGCAGTGTGGAGAAATGTGGAAGCGAGGGGAAAGAAAAGATTACATGCAGCAAAGAAGATGGAGAAGCAAAAGTTAAGGATAACTTCATTTTATGAAGGAGTTTTAGACCATAGCAAGGTTAAGAGGTGTTCTCTGGACCGATGGCTGCTGCTGGATCTCCCCAGATCTCTGGATGTTCGCAGCATTCATTTAGATAAAAATAAAATCCGCGTTAACCTGCAGAACGCTCCGCAATGGTACCAAGTCCATGAATTTGATAATTTGATTGGAGGGTGGGAGGTCACCGTGCTCTGTATCATCTCCCCCCTTTCTTTTTCTCAATATCATCTCCCTCTTTTCTTTTTCTTCTTTCTTTCTGGATTCATTCCCTTTTTAAAGAATCAGTGATTTCCTTTGCTGGTACCTGTGTAGGTGCTTGAGACGATGTCTGCATTTTTTGGTGTTTCTATTTCAGCATGACTCATGAAGGGAAACGGGGGAAATCTTGGAGGTTTCTGACTCATTATTGATCTTTTGCTTCTTTCTTGACTAAGGGAACGGGAATTCTATGAAGCTACCTCTTTGGTACAGTAAGGAAACCAATAATACAGGAAGAAGGAGCAATCTTTTCAAGGTGATGATCTTGTTCAATTCTTGACATCACTTACAAAGAAGAAAGGAACCAAGAAGAGCCAAATATCTGTATTGCAGTTCTTCACCCAAGCCACTGTTGACATGAAGGGGAAAGCATTTAAATGCCTTGAGTGTGGAAAGAGTTTTATTCATAAGCATCGTCTCCAGAATCATGAAAGGACTCACACTGGGGAGAAACCCTATAAATGCCTGGAGTGTGGAAAGAGTTTCCGACGGAAGTATCTACTGCAGGAACATAAAGGTACTCACACTGGGGAGAAGCCGTATGAATGCCTACAGTGTGGAAAGAGCTTCACTTATTCTTCAGGTCTACATTCTCATAAAAAAACTCACACTGGGGAGAAGCCCTATGAATGCTTGAAGTGTAGAAAGAGTTTCTATAAGAGGGAACATCTCCAGAATCATGAAAGGACTCACACTGGGGAGAAACCCTATAGATGCATGGAGTGTGGAAAGGGTTTTGCTCTGAGAGAATCTCTAAAGAAACATGAAATGATTCACACCGGGGAGAAACCCTATAAATGCCTAGAATGCGGCAAGAGCTTCACTCAGAATTCAGGACTACGTACGCATCAAAGGACTCACACTGGAGAGAAACCCTACACATGCCTCGAGTGTGGGAAGAGTTTCACTCAGAGTGCAAATCTATATTTACATCAAAGGACTCACACTGGAGAGAAACCCTACACATGCCTGGAGTGTGGGAAGAGTTTCACTCAGAGTGCAAATCTATATTTACATCAAAGGACTCACACTGGAGAGAAACCCTACACGTGCATGGAGTGTGGGAAGAGTTTCACTCAGAGTGCAAATCTATATTTACATCAAAGAACTCATAATATGGAGAAACCTTATACGTGCCTGGAATATGGACAGAGCTTCAATCAGCGTTCAGGTCTACTTTCACATCAAATGAATCACACTGGGGAGAAACCGTATAAATGCCTGGAATGTGGAAAAAGCTTCAATCGGCGTTTAAGTCTATGTTCACATCAAAGGACACATACTGGGGAGAAACCCTATACTTGTCTGGAGTGTGGAAAGAGCTTCTCTCATAATTCAGTTCTACATAATCATCAAAGAATCCACACTGGGGAGAAACCTTATAAATGCTTTGAGTGTGGAAAGAGCTTCACCCATAATTCAGGTCTACGTAATCATCAAAGGACCCACACTGGGGAGAAGCCGTATAAATGCCTGGAGTGTGGAAAGAGCTTCACTCAGAGTTCAGGTCTACGTTTACACCAAAAGACACACTGGGGATAATTTATTTATTTATTTATTTCAAGGTTTTATATACCGACCCTCTCACCTTCAAAGAGGGATTCGGACTGGTTCACAACATGTGTTAACATACAAAAATATACAATAACAACACAATGCAATCATTACACGATTAAAATATAAGCACCATAAACATTAAAACATGGGTGCACTCAGATGGAGGATGGGTCCTCTCCCCCCACCCCACAAAATGGTTTGGAGTAAACCAGGTTCGAGACAAGTAGTCTTTGAACATAGTGGGGTGAAAGGAATAGGGGGAGAAGAGCACTTCACAAAGGAAGGGAGGGAAGGGAGGAAGAGGGGGGGAAAGCAGTGGGGAGCACGAATTAGGGACCAGCCAAGTAAGAGGATAAGTAGAATGGTAAAGGAATGGGGGAACACCTGAGGATCGTATCTTTGAACTGTAAAGGTTTGGGCTCGATTTATAAAAGGAAAACCATTGCAGATTTGATTTATAAAGCTAAAGCTCATCTTGTATTCTTACAAGAGACACACCAATCCAAACCAAAGGTGAACGAGCTTAAGATGCGGGGATCTGTAACGTATATAAAATCATATGGAACATCTAAATCGAGAGGTGTGGCAATTATAATCCAAAATCAATGTGGTTTCAATATAAAGGAAACAAAGATAGATGAGCAAGGAAGATATATTATCATACAAGGGACAATGGGGAATGAGGATTTCACTTTTGCTAATGTATATGCTCCAAACCAGGGGTCCTCAAACTAAGGCCCAGGGGCCGGATGCGGCCCTCCAAGGTCATTTACCCGGCCCTCGCTCAGAGTCAACCTAAGTCTGAAATGACTTTAAAGCACACAACAACAACAACAACAACAACAAAAACATCAATCCTATCTCATCAGCCAAAAGTAGGCCCAGACTTCTAACTTAAATACTAATAAGTTTATATTTGTTAAAATTGTTCATCATTTTAATTATTGTATTGTTTTTAATTTTTTTGCACTACAAATAAGATATGTGAAGTGTGCATAGAAATTCATTCATGTTTTTTTCAAATTATAATCTGGCTCTCCAACAGTTTGAGGGACTGTGACCTGGCCCTCTGTTTAAAAAGTTTGAGGACCCCTGCTCCAAACACTAACCAAGCGGAATTTTATGAAACAATATTTAAAGAAATAGAGGGAATACAAAAAGGGTATTTGATCATAGGAGGGGATTTCAATGGAATAATGGATGAGGAAATGGATAAATCCCACCACACAAAGAAAGGGAAAATGCAAAATAGAACAACTCCAAATAGAATAATAAGGAATAAAAATATGGTTGATGTTTGGAGAACGTTAAAGGGGAATGAGAAAAGATTTACATTCCATTCGACAGCTCATCAAATTTTTTCTAGAATTGATTACTTTTTTGTTTCACAACAGGTACTGCCCAAAGTACTAGATACTAGAATAGGGGTAATAAGATGTTCAGACCATGCATTAATAAGCTTGGATCTCCAAATAAAGAAGGATTACCAAACATATAAGAACCGGAAGATAGGAAATGCAGTATTAGAGAATAGTAAGATAGTGGGGAAAATAACCAAAGAATTAGGAGATATTTGGGAAATTAATGATAACAACCAATGCTCTTATGCAACTGTGTGGGATGCGATGAAAGCAGTATCAAGGGGCCTGTGCATAAAAGAAGCATGCAATCTAAGAAGAGAGCAAGAAGCAGAGAGAAGGAATTTAGAATTAGACATCCAAGAACTAGAAAAGAGATACATAAAGGAAAAAGATAAACAAAGTTATCTTAAAGCAATGGCCAAAAGGAAAGAATTGGATAAACACGACTTGGAAAAAGTACAGAGAGATTTGATATACACAAAAAGGGAATATTTTGAATATAGCAATCGGAACTCTAGGATGCTAGCTAAAGCAGCACAAGAGAAGAAGAATAAGAACACAATTGGAACTATAAAAGATAAGTGGGGTAGGGAAATTATATCAATGAAAGAAAAGCTAGCTGTCTTCCAAGAATTTTATCAAAAATTATATACAGCAGTGGATAACCCTACCAACAAAATAGAGGGGGTTATAGATAAATACTGGAAAATAAAATTACAGGAGATGGATAAAATGAGTATGGAACAATTAGTATCAGAAAAAGAGATAGGAGATGCTATAGATAAATTGAAAGGAGGGAAGACTCCTGGAATGGATGGGCTAGGACCGGAATATTATAAAAAATTTAAATCAATTTTAGTACCAAAATTAAAAGAACTATATAATAGGATAATGGAAGGAGAACAGATCCCTTCATCATGGCAGGAATCAAGGATCATATTAATTCTAAAAACAAATAAGGATCCTAAAGATCCTGGTTCATATAGACCTATTGCCCTTATAAATCAGGATGCTAAAATATTGACAGCAATAATGGCAAAGAGATTAAATAACTTTATATATAATTATATTAATAAAGATCAATGTGGATTTATTCCTGGTAGACAAATGTCAAACCCAGTGGGAAGAGTACTAAATGTGATTCATACAATTAAGAAAAAGAATATTAAAGCAGGGATATTGGCCCTAGACATATTTAAAGCATTTGATTGTGTCTCATGGCCGGCATTAAAAAAAATATTAGAAAAATTTGGTTTAGGAGAGAGATTTAGAGGACTGATTGAGAGACTATATTCAACCAACTATGCAACTATACAAGTAAACGATGGCCTTACTGGGAAAATAAGATTGACTCGAGGAACAAGACAAGGATGCCCCCTCTCTCCTACCCTGTTCGCAATAGTCATAGAAATGCTAGCAAATATGATACGAGAGGATAAACATATAAAGGGGATAGGGAAGGAGGGAAGATACAAGATATGTTTATTTGCAGATGATACACTACTAACCTTCAGAAATCCATTAGAACAGATAAAAAGAATAGAAGCACATTTAACAGAGTTTGGAGAAATTACAGGCCTTAAAGTTAATTGGGATAAATCGGAAATCTTATTATTTAACCACACTAAAGATGAGGAAGAAAAACTAAGAGAAGGGAGATTGGGCAGATTAAAAATAAAGAACTCAATAAAGTATCTAGGAATTAATATTTCTAAAGAAATTGATAAATTAGAAGAGGAGAATCTAATCAAATTAAGGAAAAATGTGAAGGATACTCTGGCTAAATTTGCTAAGCTCAAATTGTCATGGTTTGGTAGAATAGCTCTAATAAAGATGAAAATTTTACCTAAAATAAACTTTTTGTTTAGGATGCTACCTATTAAAATCTCAGCCGGAGAAATTACAAATTGGCAGAATATGATAAACACCTTCTGCAACGAGAACAAAAGAGTTAGAATTAGCAAAGCAAAATGGTATAAACTACAAAAGAAAGGAGGTCTGGGAATACCAAACTTAAAACTATACTATATAGCAAACCAGTTAAGGTATATTGTTGAAGGGATTATGGGTCAAAAGGATTTAGAATGGTTAGAAGAAGAGAGTGAAGATATAGATATGAAACTAGAATATATTTTCTTTATAGGGAAAACTAGGAATCTAGACAAGAAATGGTATAACAAAATAGACAACCCTTTTCTAAAAAACATTGGGAATATGGTCTAAATATGAAGAAAAATTAATACCATCAATAATCCCCATTAACACCGGTGTTGATTACAAATAATTTCCCCATAAATCTCAAAAAGGAGTTGGAAAGTGAATTTAAGGAAAAAGGAATAACGAACTTAAAAGATTGGGAATCAAAGATGAAAAATATAGAAGAGATAAAGGTCCAGTTATTAGGAGGGAATATTGGATGGTATAAAGTTCTACAACTTGAAAGATGGTTAAGGGAAATAAGAAAGAAATATAAAGGAGAGAGAGAATTTACCAAATTTGAAGAAATGATTAACTAAAGGGGAAGTAAGGAAGGAAAAGAAAGAACAAAAGGTATAACAAGTGATATCTACGAAATGCTGCTGGAAGGAGTCCAGGAGGAGGACCACCTTAAAAGAGTGTGGGAGTTAGACTGTAATAAAGTAATACACCCACAAAACTGGAAAGGAATGTGGAATATGCGTATTTTAAAAAATATGTCAATAAGAATAAAAGAGAACTATTATAAAGTGGTGTGGAGGTGGTACCTCACACCAATCAGATTAAATCAAATTGACAAGAAACATTCTAAGCAGTGCTGGAGGGGCGGTCAAGAAACTGGCACATATATACACATGTGGTGGTCTTGCAAATATGTTCAAAAATTTTGGGAAAATGTATTTCAAGAAAAAAGAAGAATCACCCAAATAGAGATAACAGGAACACCAGAGATAGCACTGCTATCATTTTTTGACACTGTTAAAATACCAAAAGAACTAAAAGAATTAATTGCCAATCTGGTAACAGCAGCAAGATTATTAATAGCTAAAAAATGGAAAGAAGGAGGGGAGTGCCAATTGGAAGAGTGGTCTCGGGGGGAGATCTGGGACATCGCAATAAACGATAAACTGACAGGAAACATTAAGGTTAAAAGAGGTTTCTCAAAAAAAGATGATTTTGGGAAGATTTGGGGGAAATTGATAGAATATGTATATATAGAAGGTAAGGGGACCAAACCTGTAATAGAAACAACTGATTTTTGGGAATAAATATTGTAATTGGCTGGTCGGGGGTGAAGGGTTAGCACTGGGTGGTTGGATGTATTGAAGCAGGAGAATGAAATATTATAGGTATCAAGACATACATGTTCTGTACAATTGCTAATGAGAAGTGATAAGTAGAAGAATGTTTAAATACTGAATATGTTAAAGCTGCAATAAATAAAATAAAAAAAAAACATCATCACAGTTATAAGAGCCAAACCCTATAAAAACCTGGAGTGTGAACTACTCACATTTGCATGTTTTCGAACTGCTAGGTTGGCAGAAGCTAGGGCTGACAGCGGAAGCTCATGCCACTCCCCGGAATCGAACCTGCGGCCTTTCGATCAACAAGCTCAGCAGCTCAGTGCTTTAACCCACTGCGCCACCGGGGGCTCTACTGCTGTCAGCCCTAGCTTCTGCCAACCTAGCAGTTTGAAAACATGCAAATGTGAGTAGATCAATAGGTACCACTCCGGTGGGAAGGTACGGGCGCTCCATGCAGTCATGCCAGCAACATGACCTTGGAGGTGTCTATGGACAACGCCGG